TTCTGAGTGTTCATATATTATCTTTGACTTAATACTAAAGTGCAAGAGTAAGATTCTCTTTTGATTTTCGTCCCTATATTCCTTTCCCTATGCTCTTATGCAGCATTTTCACAGAATCCTGGGAGGTTAAGGTTCGTCACATCGCTTTGAATCATCATCTCATACGCAAGTGTATGGCATCAGCTGCACAGAGATTGCGTTAGTTCCTGGCTAGTTCCGACCCTGGCAGGATTTTCCCTGTGTCATTTGGCTCTTGTTTCCTGTCCACCCAGCTGCTATGTTGCATCAACGCACAGTAAACAATTAGGAGGAACAAATAGTGAGAAACCCTAACTCTGAGTCATCGTTGGCAAAGATACGTCGGAGCTGACCGTCATGAGCAGAGAGCAAGCCCATTCTCTTGGGTAATAAAACACAGCAGTGGCCACCTGGATGACTGTGTGCTCTAACTGATCCTCACGGTCTTTGCATAAAACTTGTACTTGAATACAAATCTTTGCAGTGGAAGACACAAGATGCACATAACTTTGGAGATAATGTTTGATCAGTTTGTAATTGTATACTTAATTTTCTTTCTTATATGATCTTGTGAAGCCAAGGAAACCAATATGCAGTCACCAATACAGTTGGTCCAATAGGAGCAAAACACAGAGTTATAGTATAGAACTGGTGGTTAGGTGTAATTTAATTTTTTTTGCATGAAGTAAAGTTCACTTTTTCTGTTTGAGCTTGAGTGTGTGTGTGCAGACTTGATTTGTTTGGCAAGCAGAGTTATCAGAATAGGAACTTGCCTTATCTTAAGCGATATTAATCTTTTACTATCTTCTTTTCTCTATTCTGTATATTAACGTGTGTGTTTAGAGTACATCATTGGTAATTCCTGTCAAATATGCAAATTAGTTTCATCTTCACAACATAGGTCAGTTGTTCTGGGAACATTTTTAATAAGTAAAAAAAATCAGTTTCAACAGAAAATAATTATGGGAAAAATGTATACATCTTTACAAATTTTGAAGGAAATATATATATATACTGCATTTCACTTGAGAGTTCATATTATATTAAGTATCACTTGAACTAAGAAAGTTTGTTGTACTAACTTTGACTTTCAAAAAATGTATAATTCTTTACTGAAAATGCATGTAACCAGTTATTTCATTAATTATCAAGTGGAGTTGTTGCTGAGAAAAATACCTATAACAAATTCAAATGAATGTCATCTGTAAACTAATGAAACACTGAAAAGCCAGATGTTAGTGGGTGTTAAAAGATGTTGACTAGTGAAAAGGTCAAACTACATAAGCTTTAATATTTTGGTCTACGTATTTTTTCTTCAAACAAAATATAACAATATTAACCTCACCTCAATAAACCCATATCTAACAACCATTTAAATAATTATTACAGTAGTCCCTCATTTATTGTAAGGGTTTCCGTTTTCAGTTCCCCGCTATAAGTGAATAACCGCAAAACAGGAATAGTAGTACAAGTTGTAAGTAGTTTACTTTAGTATATATGTGCTTTAAACCCTTCCCACACACTTGCAATATTCACAATGTTTCTAAACTCTAAACGCTCTAAAAGAGCATAGAATGTCATGATCTCTGCTCTCTTGGCCACGCCCACTTCTCCGCTGCAGAGCGGAGATCTGCAGGAGGGAGCTCCTCCCTGCACATGTGGGCTGCACACAGGTGCTAAATATTTTAAAATAATTTATTTTAAATAAAATTTCCATGCTGATCTTGCGGCTCATCCATCAGTCAGCCAATTGTGTGTCATAACCAAAATCTTACTTTGAAAAACAGTGAAAAGGCGAGTCTGCGAAAGTCGAACTGCCAAGTAGCGAGGGACTAATGTATACCGAAAAATAATACATGGAAGAATATTCTCTGTTGGAAAAAACAGTCGGCTACTTTTAGCTGTTTTTAGCAGCTACTGGTTGCTTCTTCATATTCCACGTTGGTAACCAATTAAATGTATTAATTGATGTAGGCGTGGCTGATTGCAAATTTTTTTATTTTTTTTGGTGACGTTTTTGGCCAGTTAATTGGTTTATTACGAATCTATTGTAAACATGGCATGAAGTTAGCGTAAAATCAAACTAGCATATTTCATTTTTTTTTAAAAACCCTGATTTTTGGATTTAAGTAAACTAGTGGTACAATTGCACCAGCTCTTTGTTGGTTCTAAGATGAGAAACATATAAATCTAAATACCAACTCACAAATTGCAAATAAAAAAGTCATTGTTTTTATGTTCACTTTTATTTTGACAGATTAGATATCAATTAAAATCTAATCATTACCTGTGTTGTGTGTTGAGCTCTTAATTGTCTGCAGTTGAAGAAAAAATAATTATTTTGCACATTCTTGATTTAATGTGTGTTTTAAGTTGTAAATGCAATGATTGCTACATTTTAACTGTAAATATGTGTGCTGCTTAAGTTTTTTGTTTTTTTTTAACCATTTCTCTTGCATAAATAATTTTACTCTATTTCCCTGAGGCCCTCTTAAGCTTATTATGCTTCAACTCTACTATAATGACTTTCCTGCATAAATGGCTAAATCCAGATTTAAAGTAAAACCAATAGTTATTTTTCGTATCTGTCTGCTCAGTAGTATCAGTGATGCAGTGTTTGATAACTTGCCACATGCTGATCAAGTGATCAGCACTGTCACTTTAAGATAAGAGCCATTTAGACTAAATGTGGGCAGATGTTACTGAGGCTGAACACTTTCAAGCTGTGTGTTGTGTCACTGTACAAGAAATCTTTAGTTGTTATTGTGAGCGTGTTGCTTTGTGATGTTTGAAGACGTTAGAAAACCTGAGGCTGCAATTGTCACCAACACTGGAGTTTTGCTATTGAGCTGCCCCCACCCCATCTCTTCATTGATCGGAGTAATAAACGAATGCAAGGCTCTGAATGGGAAAGAGAGCCACAGTTGAGTACAAGGGGGAGGGAGAGAAGGGAGAGAGGGAGGCAGAGGTACTGTAGCGTAGTCATATATGTCAGCCTCAGAAGCTGCGTGGGTTGCTCTGCTTCCTCACGCCATTGTTGTTGTGAAAAAGACGGAACAAAGGACTCCCAATGCTACGGACCCCTTTTACCTTTACCAGCTCAGCAGTGCTATGATCACACCCTGATGGAATGCTATTGAAATTAACCATGTTAAGGAGCACTGCAGGCGTGAACTGAACTGGCACAGAGTCCGTGAAAGAGGCAAAAAGGAAACAGAGGAGCAAACTGATACATCATCCAAAGTCCTTCTCTTTTTTTGATCCTGTTTACTTGAGCTCATCTGCCTTTTTCTTCCTATTCTGAAGCGTGGCCACTGCTGATAAGGTTTCAGTTTCTTCTGTGAAGGTTTGGTGTGGACATTGCTGTGGATTGTTGAAAGCGTTGCTGTGGATACTGATGGCAGGGAGGCTGCACTGAAGCCAGAGACGAGAGCGAACAAGCTGCTCACCACTGAGGAGTGTGCCGCTGATGAAGCAGACACATCCGAACCAGGCTAAGCAACCATGAGATTACCACATTTTCTGTAAAGGCTTTATCCAGATTAAAAAAACAATCAAAGTTCTACATTTCTGTTTTTCTTGCGTCTTGACGATCTCTTCCTGGACTTAATGCTGGCGTGGATAAAAGTGGAGTTGGTAAAAGACGAGCTTAACCAGATGTCTTGGCGTCGTAGGTCATGTGATTTCTCATGAGGGTTGGCTGAAGTGGTGAAGGGTCTAGTAGACCCTGGAGCATCTGTTCCCGTCTTTGACTGCATGATTAGTGACGCTTCAATGAGAGAAAACGATGCGGGGAACAGTAAGTAGCAGTAAGATTATTTTTTTTTTTCCCCAAGCAAATCCCTCCCCTCATTTTTCTTGCACGTTCAGTGTTGATTTCTACTGTAATTTTCTACAACCCCCCCCCCAAAAAAGATAAATATTTTGTGGGGGTTATGCTTTATAGCGTAGAGAGAGAACAACAAACATACACATGTACCTGACTGGAGTGCTCAGACTTTGATTGAATTAGACTCCATTGCCCCTCCCACCTCCACATCATACTACACACACTGCTGACGCTGCTGGTGTGGGTTTGTATCAACATACGAGAGTCCGTGTGGCAGTCAAAAGGCTTTTCTCCCGTTTTCGCTGGCACATGAATGGGAGCAGTGTCAGAGATGGAGGTGCTGATGATTTCAGTGTTTGAAGACAGCCACAGACACAGCCCTTTGCCAGAGGAGTGTAGATTCTATGACGGCGACTTCCTCAAGAGTGAGGTATCTAGCGCCCACACACAGTGCCAGGAAACAGAAACCTTTGATTTTAAAGGGATAAATTAACAGAAGTCTTGAAGTGTTTGTTTTTTAACATAAGCTGATTTAGTTAATTAAAATCTCTTTTTTTTGTTTATGTGCTTATTGTAAAAAATAACTAATGTGCTTAAAATACTGTAATTGCTTTGATAAAGTTACTTCTTATTTTGTCTCTTGTTTCCTTGTCCAGGCTGTTTGTTTATAACGATTAAAGCGGCATGACTCATTGTAGAGTACATATCGGTGTGTGCCTGACATTTTATGATAAGCTGAGTGACTTCTCTCTCTCTTTCTGTGTGTGTGTGTGTGTGTGAGAGAGAGAGTGTTGCATCTAGGTATGAACAAAATTAGTTTTTAAATTCAAACATTTAACTGTTTTTAGTGTTTGTGTCAGTTTAGTGACTAAATTAGCTTGAAACAGTGATTGTTTATTTTTATGTTTTGAGCTTCATCTGGTAGCAGCCGCTTTTTATTTAATCACAAACTTTTTTTTTTTTTTTTGCTTGTGGTCAAATATTTATTAATGTTGATCAACTATCAATACAGTTTTGTCGAAACTTTGAGCTGCCGGTCAGCATGTTTGAACTTATTTTACTTATATTAATAATGAGACACTTAGTTTAACAGAATCTATAATGAGATTTGTTCTTTAAAATGTATAAACTCCAAACATTTTCTTCCTTACAGGTAATCCTGGTGCAAGTCAACCCAGGTGAGGCCTTCACTATTCGACGAGAGGATGGTCAGTTTCAGTGTATCACAGGTAAGCAATCTGTTATGCTTTAACTGTCTGGTCTTTAGGAAATTGTAACATGTAGTGGCTCTAATGCAGATTTTAACTAAACTCCTTCCACCCATACCTAAACTACAATGCAGGTTAAAACATAAACTATTATAATATTACTATTATTTAAAAATAAACTTGGTTTGTTCTTTCTGGGTTACTATTGTAGAAAGGTGGCTTTAAAGTTTTTTTTATTTAATTTATTTAATTCATATGATTCTACATTACAGGGAACATCAATGTAAATTTTGTTAACACCCCCCCCCCCCCCCATCAATAAGTGTCAGCAGTGACGTAGCACTAAGCTAGCGACGCGTGATACAGACGAGCTAGCTAAAAAGCTATGACTATGGAGCTAGCGCTACGTCTCCACCACTCTCAATGAGCCATCTCCACCCCCTGCTTGAAAGCTGTCGGTACAAACAGTGCCGCCCCCACCACCAACAAAAAAACAACAAAAATCACAGAAGATATGAGTGCCCTGCCAAGGCAAGTAAACTAGGGGAAACGCGTCACACTAAAAAAAAAAAACACGATGGGAAAGACAGTGAAGGACTTTTTCTTGTGTACAGTGTAAATGTTATCAAAGGTACCTGTACATGTATCAAAAATTCACGACTGAGCTAAAAACCTTCAAGGAGATGATGTGAA